AGATGAATCAGATGTAGCTGGGATTGAAAATGTTGGGATAAGAGGCTGAGGAAGCATAAGCAGATTGTTTGGCTTTCCTGTGAGGCTGGAGGTTAGGGTGTGGATGGGAGGAAGTTAGCAGGAGGGTGCCCACAGCAGCCATTGTGCAGCCTGGGGCTCATCAGGCATAACATTTGAGTTGCAAAACAGCCTCTGAGGTCCAGCTGCAGTTGGAAACCTGAACTGGTGACTCCACACTGTGGGTTGTCTGGGATTTTCTCCAGCAGTCCCTGACTTTTAGGATAGGTCTAGGGAAGAGAAAAAAGATTGATTAGTAATGGTGCTGCCAAGTGGTTAAAGTGGCTTAAGAACTGTGTTGTGAGGTCTAGACAGATTGGAAGTGAATGGCACATTCAAAAGGAGAGGATTGACTGGGAGGAAGGGGGCTGGAAATAGGCTGAGGAAGGGTGAGAGACCTGGCAGGACAGCAGCTCATGCTGACTTTTCTTAGGTGACGCGCAACATTTTGAAGAATAGGCTATGCTTATGGGAAGCAGATACTAAAATGGTATGGAAGTATTAAGGCCTGGTAATCAAGAAATGTTGTATTGGACAGAGTATCCACATGGATGTCATGGTGACCCCAGGTGACAGCTGCATTCCTTGGATTGTCACCTCCATAATTGAGGAGGAACAACTGAGTGAAATGAATGCAGGAAAAGGAGGAGAATCATTGCATCTTCTGGGCAGAGTCTTTTTACCTCTGTCTCACTAGATCTCTTGAGATACCTATCACTTTGTCATTTATAAATTGAATTATTTATATGAGTTTCTTAGTCTCACATTTGTTTCCTTGTTAATCTGTCTTCCCCCTAGATTGCAAGCTGTGTAAGGGCAGGTGACTTGTATATTTCATTCACTGCTTTATCCCTCCACCTAATAAAGTGGCTGGTACATAATAAATAATCAGGTTCTATTGAAGGAATGAATGGCAAGGGAGGGGAAGAAGGGTCAGGTTGTCAGGAAGGAAAATGAGTCATTTCCTTCACTTCTCATCCTAGACAATAAGCCTTCCTTTGTGGACAGGTGGTTCAATTTATCCTTAGTGCCCCAAATGCCAACATACTCTCTCTGAGAAACAGTAGATCCTCTGGAAATATTGGAATTGATGCTGAAACATACTTTAATTTTATAGGGTTTTGGTTTCTTATTTGGTTGAATGTTTATTTAAAAAGCTTAAGAAAAAGTGTATCAACATAAGTTGGTTATCAACGTAACCTGATTCATAAGTACAGTGAGGTTTGCATATTTGATATCTCATTTTATATTGTGACAAATTAATAATTCCTCTCAAAAAGAAAAATCTTGAAGACAAAATAAACTACATTTCTAATGGAGATTAAGTGACATGAATGAGGAGAGAAAAGGGAACTGCATTGTGCTGGCTCTGTCTCCTGAGCGATTTCTGTTTTGCTCTCGTGCTCGCTGCTGCTCCCACTCCTCACTCCTTACCTATTCTTTTATCTCCTCCTTTTTTATCACTCCTGGTTCTCATCTGTCACTCTAGAGAACTACTGCCTTTTTAGATGAACTGCATCATTTCATCTCTAATCTGGGTTGGTTTCCTCTCCTAGAAGAACTCCAGGGCCCACCATTTGCTATATTCAGTTGCAAATCTCACCCTACTCTGCTTAGAAGGCAGGAAAAGAAAGATTTCAGGCTGTCTTGAAGGATGTGGCAGCTTTATTCAAAGAATTGTTCTTGCACCTGCTTGTGTTTTGGTTAAGCACTGTGACATTTTGGACAACAGTTTTCCTTTCATCCTTTCTGCTGCTGCCTTTTTTCCCTGAAGATTTTATTTATTTTTCCATAGAAGAACTAGGGTGTAGGCCAGAGGTAGAAGGGTGAGGGGATTCACCCGAGACAGAACGAAGAGCAGAACAGGCGGATCTAATGAAATACACTGCTGAGGGATGCGACGGGTAAGACAGGAGAGGTCTGCTGTGCCATATATGAGTCAGCTCCCTGGCCAGGGATCAAACTCAGGGATTGTCCTGGTGGTAACACTGAGACTTAACCCATAGGCCACCAAGGAAGCCCCTTTATGCTCCTTTTATCCTTTTCTATTTCTAAAGAAGTTGCCTTTTAGTATGCATTATCTTTTTAAATGTGACTTTTATTATAAATGCTTTTTCTGTTATTTTCTGCATTATATATAACTGGATGTATTTTCCCCCTCATTTTAATGGAGAAAATGCCAACTTCTTATTTAAATTTCTGTTAGATCACCACTCTAAAATGCCTGTGTATTACTGTACCCCTTAAGGATATTTAATGCTTTTCTCTGCTCTGTTACAAAGAATGAAAATGCTCAGACCCTCTCAGTAGCTGCAACATCAACTGTCAACATTGTCGAATTTCCAAATGTGAAGTTGAATCATTAAACTTCACTCTGGTTGAATCATAAAATTTTAGGAGTTAGAGTTAGAAGAGCCCTTAGTGGTCATCTGTTCCACCCTTCCTATTTAATAGATGGAGAAATAAATCTCCAGAGACAGTGACTGACTAATCTCGACCAAGTGCCGTGCACCAGCCGGGTTTGCACTGTGCTCAACTGTTCTGTCTCCTCCCAACCCTCCCTAGTCTGGCGAGCCTCCTGCACACTTGCTTCAGCGTGACATTTCCCAGTGACATTAGCCTGCCCCATAGCACAGTTAACAGATGCAGCCCACAGATTTCATCACCATTCATTTCCTCAAGATGAAGGTTATTTTTATGATAGAAATTGATGAAATTATACTAGTAATTTTTTTAAATTAAGTGTTAATATGCTGACCAGAAGGAGTTAATGCAAGTTTTCAAAGTAGCTGAATTATTCCTAATGACATGCTTACAAAGCAAAAAATGCTGACTCTCTTCTTCATTTGGCTTATGGTCTGTGAAAGATAATGTATAGTGTTACACATAGTTTCACAGACCTATGGCAGTTAGAATTACGAATGAAATCCCATATTCTTCTACTGGATGGCTCTAGGATCAGATGGAAGGATGTTTGTTTTCTTAACTCATTAGGATGTACCTTTCCCCCTGCAATGTGAATAAGTAACCTCTACTCTGTCATCTGTACAAAGAAGACAGTAATATTGCAACATACAGTTGAGGATTCAAAAACTACTTATAATTTAACTTGCTTGCTATTTATTATTCTTTATTATATTATTTTTTATTGAGGTAACATTGAGAGGTAGAGAGTTAGAGAGACCCACACTCCTTCAGATGTATGTTACTACCCCACACTCTGTCAAGGTACCCATAATCCTCCACCAGATTCCATTGAGCCTCCTTTTTTACCTTTTGCTCCCCTCCCTTCCTGCTCTGGTAGCCTCAGTTCCACAGTCAGTTCTAAGATTTGTTCTGGTTTCACTTTGTCGATTCCTTTGTTTTGTTTCTTTGTATTCTACATATGAGTGAAATCATCCAGTGTTTGTCTTTTTCCTTCTGACTTATTTTTCTTAGCATAATACCCTCCAGTTCCATCACTGTTGTTGCAAATGTCAAAAGTTCATTTTTCTTTTTTATAACTGAGTAGTGTTCCATTGTGAATATATGTCATATCATCTTAGTCCACTTATCCATGTTTGACATTTACATTGTTTCCTTAACTTGGCTATTGTAAATAGTGCTGTAGTGAACACAGAAGTGCATGTATCACTTTGAATTAGTGTTTTTGCACTAATACCTAGGAATGGAATTCTAGATCACATAGTAGATCTATTTTTACTATTTTGAGAAACCTCCGTACTGTTTGTCGTAGGACCAGTTCATAGTCCTACCAACAGTGTACAAGGATTTCTTTTTCTCCACATCCTCACCACTTTTTGTTTCTGGTCTCTTTTATGTTGGCCATCCTCACAGGTGTGAGGTGGTATCTCATTGTGGTTTTGATTTGTAATTCCCTGATAAGTGATGCTGAGCATTTTTTTTTTTTTTTAATGTGCCTGATGTCATCTGTATGTCTTTGAACTTCTGGGCTGTTCTGCCACTTTTGATTGGATTATTTGTTTCTTTGTTGAGTTATATGAGTTCTTTGCAGATCTTGGATGTCAGGCCCTTGTCAAATGTTTGATGTACAAATATTTCCTCCCATTCTGTAAGTTGTCTTTCTTTTTTTAATGATAGCTTCTTTCACTGTTTTTAGTTTGATGTAGCCCCAGTTGTTTATGTTTGCTTTCCTTTCCCTTGTCCCCAGAGACATCCCTGAAACCAGTGTTGTGGAGTGTTTTGCCTGTTTTATGGTTTCAGATCTTATAGCCAAGTCTTTATAGTCATTTTGAGTTAATTTTGTACATTATGTGAAATAGTCATCTAGTTTGATTCTTTTGCATATGGCTGGCCAGTTTTCCCAGTACCATTTGTTGAAGAGACTTTTCTTTCTCCATTGTGTACTCTTAGCTGCCTTATTTTTAGTTTACAGGACTGCTTCCCCTACCCCAATTCTAATCTAATATAAACTAGTTAAAAACTTTTTATATATTTATATATAATGGCTAATGATGAATGTATGTGATAACCTCTATCTTAATTGCCTCATATAAATTTATTATGTAACTAATTATGAAATTTAAATCAAGATTGTGAATTTAAATCAAGATTGTAAGTTTATAGCAAATAAGTGTGTATATATCTACAGTTAATTTGGAGCTTTATAGTTTAAAAAAAACTATTGTTTTTAGAAAGCTGTCTTCTGATTAATCTTCTCTGAAAGTTAATACGGCCATGTAAAGCCTCTTATTGTGGAAAATACTTCTTGATTGACATTAATACTTACCAATAAATATACTTCTCAGAACATTCAACTAACTATAAAATCACTGGCAATAGTCATGTTTGTTTCTAGTCAAGTGAACATTTACTCAGTAAATGTACATTTTCTTGTAAATTTGTAGATATTTAGAATTTCTTCACTCCTAATTACGAACTGAAATGGTCTTCTTAAGCGTGTTATTTTTCTCTCTCTGCAGCTACGACAGTTAGTGAATATGTGCATCAACCCAGACCCTGAGAAGCGACCAGATATCACCTATGTTTATGACGTAGCGAAGAGGATGCATGCATGCACCACAAGCAGCTAAACATGTGGAAGATCATGAAGAATATAACCAAAATAACTTAAAGTATTTTTGTGCAAATCATACCTCCCTGTTTCTGTCTGGGTGTTAAGATTAATATTTCAGAGCCAATGTGCTTTGAATCCTTAACCAGTTTTCATATAAGCTTCATTTTGTACCAATTTAAGTTACCTTTTTGCAAAACCCCAAATGACTTTGGAATAATCAAATTACATGTTAGGAGAGTAAGTATAACATAATGGTTTTTAGTGGCTATAGGTTTTCAGGCCTACGAGTTTTCTGCTGATAAATTTGTGTTCAGATAGACTCGCAGTGCCAATATTGCAGGTGCAGCCTGGCACTCAGCAGGACTGACTCCCCAGCTGGGAAAGTGTCTGAACATGTGACTTGTTTGCTTTTTAGTCATTTATGGACATTTGAAATGAACACAATTGTGAACTTTTGTGATGACTTTATTTGTAACAGTTTGAAGTATGTGTTTTAGTTCTTAGCATTGTAGCTTTCAAATATAATTAAGATAAATGTAGACATATACTATTTGAGAAACATTTTAAAATTCTTTGCTTATACATTCAAAATGCAACTTTTAAATGTGAAAAGATTTGGGGACAAAATGTGAGTCAGACACTGAAGAGTTTTTTGCTTTATTTTATTTTAATATCTTTGATAGTTTCTTTGCATTAAAATGGTATAAATGAATCCCTTTAAAAAGTGGTTAAGGATTTGTTTGGCTGGTGTGATAGTAATTTTGAAACTTGCACATTGCCCAAGCTTTTTTGTTTTTGCTATTGATTGTACATTTGAAAAATATTCTCTGAATAATCTTGCAGTACTATACTTCAATTTCTTTATAAATTTAAATGCTATACTCATAATTGTACACTGTAGTGTAAGCATATGTTTTATTCATAGATTTTATTGAAGTTCTGATTGGTCCCCTTCAGAATTTTTTTTATATTCTTCAACTTATTTATATTGTATGTGCATTTTATTCATTAATGTTTTCTGAGCATAAAACCTTTTAAAAAATCTTTAGTATACCAACACTTTCCCTGGATTGAAACATTTTTTTAAACTTAAAAATATTGGCCTACCCTGTGTGGATGGATGTATTCTGTCTTGTTTGAGAGGAAGAAAGGATGTATGTTGCGCCCGTATCTGTGAATGTTGATACAGCTTCAATTCATTGGACAAGGTTGTAATTGTAGAACATGTTTAAAGAAATGAAAACTATCCATTGTTCCACAGCCAGAATTTTTATGAGATTAACGTTTCTATTGAGAAGCTTTTAAGCAAAGTACTGTATTAATGAATGAAGATGACAGAGATGATAATGCTTCAATTACTTTAAGGAAATGGGCTGAGTTTCCTAAATACTGTTGTGGAGATGTGTTTTCCCTTAACAACTTCCTGTTAGTGGTGACCACTTAATTCCTCACAGCATTGTGAAACCAAAAGGCTGAGTGGCGGGCGCCATGCCACCACATGACCTCGGGATCCATAATCCTGCTGACATGAAGACCTCGTGTTCAGAGGACACCTACCTTTAGCTGATAAAACTGCTGGGTTTTGTTTTTTCATATAGGTGTTTTTCCTGCAATCATTTGAATACTTTCAAATAACTTATACATTTAAAAAATATGTAAAGGGAAAAACATACAAGCTATTTTTTTCCCCAGAACGTAATCAGTTATGTTGTCAATCAGTTATGGTATCTGAAGGAAGATTATCTCTTAGGATAGGTAGATGAAACCTGGTTGATCATATGTGAGGGCTGGATGAATTGTTCTTCCCAGGTGCTAATGACTTACAACATTTTTACTGAGCACCCAGAGAATTATCTCTAGTAGTAAAACTGTTTTTAGTTGACCATTGGTGTCATGTCCATTTTAATGTAATGTAATGGAGATGAAATGTTCTGTGATTCAAACGGTCTTTTTCTTGCAATATTTAAAAATACACAGCTCTAAACTGTATTAGCTTACCTGCTAACAATGACTTTTAAGCAAAGATTTAAGCTTTTATTTTAGTGAATATATCTGCTAAAGGAAATAGCTGGGAAGAATTGAATGATCAGGGAAATTCATTATTTTCTACATGTAGAAGCTTTTTGTTTCTGATATTGTATCTTTTTTATCTAATTGTTTATATTTTTCCTGAAACCACTGTGTAAAAAATTTTAATTTAGAATGGGATCATTTCAAAGAATTATGAAGATGATTAAAGTTTTAATTTTTATAATCACCTACAAAATGTTCTCTTTATACTTCTGTTTATAAATAAATTTTGTGTTGATTAAGTAAAACATTTTAATTGAATGGAGAATCAGTAAAATGAAAGGTACATCTGATTCTAAACCTTATTTAACCATTGGTACAGGTTACCCAGGGGATACTGAGGGGTAACTTTGTATGCTGAGGTTTAGGAATGGTGAATGAAGGGTACTCCAATATAAATAAAGTGCTCAACAATGTGCAATGATTGTAAATTTAGAAAGATATTTCATGAATGCTTTGCCATTCTCCATAGTATCTGTCACAAAACACCTTTCTTGTATCCATATACTTCAGGTGTTGCTGTTAACATTTACATGATATTTATTTTAACCAAAATGTTATTCATATTAAATGTTTTTCTTTAAAATTAATGTATTATGTTTATAACCCACAATTACATAATTATCCCATGCCTTATATTTCAATAGTACTGTAATATGGACTTTTTGTGAAATACTTTTATTTTGTTATGCTTCAAATACACATACTAAAAGATTCTGTTACTAGCTTTGAAAATTGTATAATATCCTAATATAAATAAAACATAAAATTAAAAAACGAATACAATAAAATTTTTATGTATCTGTGATCTTTTTCTCCTAATACCTATCATTGTTCATTTCATTAACCATTTAACCTACAGTAACAATTTTTACTCATTTCTATAACTATTTCATTTTGGAGAAGCCTGAGAATTTAAGCAGTGGAGGATGATAACAGAGCTTGGGCAGATACTAAGTAGTAGTTTTTAAAATATATATTAAAGAAGGAACATTTTCACATGTTCCTCTTTGTACATAAATTTCTGTCTTTGAATTAAAAAAACCTAAAAGGTAAAAAAAAAATAAGGGAATAGTCATCATCCTTCTTTGAACTGTGAGTCTAAAATTTAGCTGACATTCCACTCCTATCACTATAATATGCTTCTCATGCAGATAGTTTGAATGTTCTTTTCACATAATAAGGAGTGCTGCTGTGCCTGAAAATATATATTTTTTATATTAACGTATCATTTGTTTAAAATACCATGTAAGTTTCTTGAGACAGCTTCACACCTTGATAAATGTATCTACCATTTTACAGCCACTATCATTCACTGCTATCAAATTGACATCATCTACCCTTTTCCCCCATCTGTTACCCCTCCCCTCTGGTAACAACCATTTTGTTGTCAGTTTTTGTTTTGTTCATTTGCTTGTTCTGTTTCTTTATATTCTACATGTGAGTAAAATCATCTGATATTTGTCTTTGTCTTTCTGGCTCATTTCACTTGGCATAGTTACCTCAAGTCCCAACCATATCACCTAGGGCAAGAGTTCATCTCTTCTACAGCTGAGTAAATTTAATGGGGTAAATCTGCCAGGCTGTTGATAAGAGTAATGGATCTACCTTACATACTAGGATCATACCAGATTGTGGTGGAAAATAGCTAACTTTGTAACCTGTAATATTAAAGAATCATTAGTCTGTGTGTGTGCATGTGTAGATATGTGTATGTGATTGTAAAGTGATAGTATATTTTAGCCATAAGATAATGTTGGACCACTTATAAAGGGATTTGAGCATCCATGGGTCTTGGTATCCATGTTGCCTTGAAACCCACCGCGTGGGTACAAGGGATCTTCAGGTGTGTGGGGGTGGGTGTCCCTAATGCCCGCATTGTTCAAGTGGCTATGTTATTTTTTGACATTTCTTTATCTTATACTAATATATCATCAGCAATCTGAAATGTATGTTTGAATAGCTCCGTTATCATGAAAAAGGACAATCTGTCGCATTCCAAGATCTGTGTTGGATGCTATTGACTGTTTCCCAATGCATTTTGAATGAAAATGGAGCAAATTGAGTTATATGGAGATACTCATTTTAGAGTCTGCACACATGAACTGATTAATAAATATATGAATACACACGCATATGTAAATCTCATTATTCCTACAAGATAAATAAAAGTGTTCCCAATTAGCAGTTAAGAAAACTGAGGGCCAGACAGGATGAAGGGTTTTCCCAAATTCATTGAAAGTCAGATTTTATTTTAAATTCTCTCCAACTCTCGTACGCATGTTGACAACAGAGGAATCAACTAAGAGAAACTAGAGTTGGATTAAAGAAGTAGAATATAGGGCCACCCTGGTGGCGCAAGGGGTTAAGCACCATACTATGAAGCAATCCTCAGCCTCTGCAGGCTGGAGGGCCAGAGAGCAACCCACATGGCACAGCATACCTCTCCTGTCTCTCCCCCTGCTCCCCTCAGCAGTGTGTTTCAGTCAGTCTGCCTGTTCTGTTCCCCACTCTCTCTGGTGAATCCTCTCACCTCCCCACCCCACCCCTGCATCTCTGGCCTGTACCCCAGCTCTTGTATGCATAAATAAATAAATCTTTAAAAAAAAAAGAAGTAGAATAAGATGAGTTAAGACATTTGTTTTACTCTTTATTGTCCCTTTCTCACTGGTTTGCTCAATAAAAATAAAGGTGAGAAACGCCTGCCCAACAGGTATGTTAGGTACGGAATTTGATTAATGAATGACTTGGAGAAGTGGTGGCTTGAACTACAAGCCAGACAGCAGGGATGGAGAAGGGAGTCTGATAGATAAGGCGCTTGTTAGCATCCTGGAAAGATTTCTGTTAATAGTGATCAAAGAGATAGAAGAAGGCAGTGTACTTATATTTAATTTGATTTCCTTGGGTGCCAAGCATGTTACTTAAGATACATTCCTTATATGCAGTTTTGTGAATACTTCATCAAGTAGTCATTAATATTTTCCTCATTTTTAACAAAATTAGGCAAATTGCAATCAAAATACTGACTTGCCTTAGATCACACAGCCACAAAGAGGCAAGAGGAAATGATCTGTCCATTAAATACTTAAATGTTTGTGTGGAAAATCAGTGGAGGAAAAGTATTAGGAAAAGGGGGATTTTAGGGCCTCCCCTGGTGGCACAGCAGTTGAGCGCTGGGTTGCAAAGCTGCCTGCAGCCTCTACAACGCTGGTTCGATCCCTGGCTGACAGCGAGGGTCCCACATGGCGCGACAGACCTCTCCTGCCGCGTCCGCTTCTCCCCTCAGCAGTGTATTTCGTCAGTCTGCCTGTTCTGTTCCCTGCTCTGGCTCTGGTGAACTCTCTCACCCTCCTGTTCTTCTGACTGTACCCAGTGCTTGTATAAATAAATAAATAAATCTTTTAAAAAAAAGGGGGGGTATTTTAGAAAGAATATTGAGATGTTGGTAAAAGTACAGGGAAAGTGGTTCATTTCAAAGGAGAGTGCCTCTAAAATACTGGAGTAAGTTATGACTACAGTTTGGATGACCTTCAACTTGAATTCACAATCCATTTCACTAGATTATGAAACAAGTGGGAGTCTCCACTATTCTACTTACTGCAGCAGGGTTGCTTCGAAGCTACTCAGGTCTGTTTTATTGATATGTCAATGATCTAGTGAGGGATCAATTTATCCTATTTATTAAAAACAAGCATAATATATTTTTATCAACTCTAAGGTGGATTCTGCTGGAGAATTCTGAAAATGTGCATGAATGCTATAGCTATCATCTAAATTCTTTAATTTTAGGCTGCATTGTGTTAATACTTCAGAGAACTTATGGCTGAATTTTAATCTTAGTAACATTTAAAAATAGGTTTTTAAAGGACATCACTGCCTCATAATTCTACTTGCCAGCACAAAGGCAGTTCAAGGAAATTCAAAAAAAATGTAAACATCTCATAGATATTCTGAATTAGTTCTGTCACTTCCATTTTCCTTTTAACTCTCAGGTGTATACCAGATATAGCATTTGGGAAGGGTGCCCTGCTGAGGCTCCCCCATAATCATGAGGCAATAATGAGATAAATTAGGTGTAAATCACATCAGTAGGTTTTTTCCCTGCTTCTATTGATTTGTCAAAACACTTTATCATGGAAAAGCACAAATGAAAACAACTATTTTTTCTGTGTCAGAGACAGCATGCTTTTGGGTGGGTGTTTGCCTGCAGAGCCCGAGAGTGGCTTGACTATAAAGCCCTCTTAGCAGTTCTCCTGGAGTTCTGTGAACCAGACTGCCCCGCACTTTCTCTTTCTATCATGTTTTACTTTTTATCATGTTCTGTGTGAGGCTCTCTTCCAGTTAAGGATTTAAAGCTAGCTCTTATGTACACAAAAATCAGATTTATATCTTTGTACCACAAAATGAAGCAATTATTTTGTCTTCCAATAGATTCTGCTTGGTCTGCCTTGGCACCAGCGCTACCCACTGTTGTCTGCAAGGCGGTGACGCTTGTATCAGCTTCATTAAATAGAGCCCTGCTGACATTGACCATTGATCCAGCAGCCAGCTCAGGTGCATTTGGCCACAGTGTTTTCTCCCTCTGCTCTTTACTTCTCTCCAGGGATAACCAATCAGAAGAAACGACCCTCATGCCTAGTGTTTTGAGAAGCAGAGCAGTTTGATTTCAATTGCCAAACTGTCCACTAACTTGGAAATCAAATTTCAATCTCCTAGGGGCAAAAAGAACATGTAGCCTCTGTGTGTATGTGTGTGTGTGTGTATGCGCACATGTGCGTGTTCATGGGTGCATGCATATTGTACTCTAAGATCCAGTCTAGGTAAGTTCAACCACAAGAATTCACTTGATTAATTAAAAATGGGCAATTCAAAAGTACTCTCTCTTTAAACATGGGATTAGTATGCATTATCCCAGAAAGTGTCTTCCCATTTTTGTGTATTTGGTGTCTAACTGTGGAAAAACATGATTTTTTCATTTGTATCTCTGCTAAGTCATCAATCTAGGATGCTGATTTCTTTCAATAAAATTTCAGATAAAAGCCACTTTTCCTAAATTTATACTATCTCTGAGACTCTAGAAATGATAACAAATACACCTTCTAATTGACTCGGTTTCTAGGACACCTAGGTAGCTCACCTTGAACTTTATCTACTTTATCTTTCCTCCTAAATATATTATTTGCTCATATAAGTCAATGATGTGTTCTTAGTGTTGTATAGGCATAACACAGTTAGCTGGTTGACTCTCTGGCATGTGTCTTTAGAGAATTGAACTAGTTTCAGATTTTATGTGATGATACTTTTCATTTCAGAATCTGTTATTGTACTTTTAAAGAATCTAGAGATTCTTTAAACCAACAAGCACAAGCTCCTGGTCAAAACCCTTTTTGATGTTTTGTAATAATGTAAGGTAATATTTATGTGTTGTAAATAAATACCAAATTTACTTTGGTTGTAGAAATAATAAGAATGATATATAATTCAACAGTTCTATAAGGAGTCCTTTTTCTTCTTCACCTCCTTTCTCTGTTCCTCCCTGGGTACGAAGCATATTGTTTAATCTTAAAAAAATAAAAACTGAACTTTATGTATCTTTATCATTTTATGTAATATATCTTGCTTTCTACATAGTTGAATCATCTGTAACAAGAGATTAAACTTTGTCATCTTTCTAAGCCTCTCTGTACCTAATAGTCAGTGATTAAATCCTCACTTTTGATACGTATATAATATTATGTAAGTATTGGATTTCTATTAAGATTTTTATCATTCTTTTAGTCATTATC